TTAAGAAATAATGGCTTTGGAGGCGGGTCTGAGAAAAAACCCGTTAAAGCTTTGAATTTTTGAAGCAAGGACCAGCTTACCAAAAAAGAAAGACCGGATCCTAATAAAGGATCTAATCAGCAATAAGTGAAAATATTAAACAAACGAACCAAGGCTGATTTTTCAGACGGGAATATATATATCTTTTTAACCAATACTTCGGAAGGCACGGGAGGCCTTCCTTCTTCAGGGCCTTACATATCTTAGTTTAACCACATCGTTATATGTAAGACCCTGAAGAAGGAAGGCCGTGCCTTCCGAAATAGTTGCAAAAAAGATATATATATTCCCGACTGTAAAATCAGCCTTGCTTCTTTTTTTAATATTGAAGCTTTGAAGACTTATTTAACATAGCTACAACCCTGGTCAAAACGTCTTGGGACACTTGAGCAAATTAGTCACAAAGACGCACTTTGCTAAATTAACTCATATTCTACCTCAAAAAAAAAGCTTTGGGATGTTGTTATAAGGGGCTATTTCTGCTGTCCCCCTCTCCCCCAAGCAGTGTTGATTGTGTTGAATTAAAACTTGAATGCATAACGTCAACATTGCACCGAGGGGGAACGGGGGAGGGAAGATGCCTCAATTTGACAAGCTATTGCGTTAGTGTCCCAAGAGTTTTGACCAGGGTTGTAGTCCAACCTTTTGCATTTTGAAAGTTGTTTCGATATAACAATGAGGTCTCTTCATCCTCTCTTGGATAAAGGCATTTCCATGTTCAATTTTTCGCGTCGTGCGTAGCTGTTGACTTAGGTGTGGCCACCTCATCATCATCATCATCATCATCATCATCATCATCGGTGATAATCTTCATCATCATTGTCGCCATTATCTTCTCTTATCTTCACTATCGTCATAGCTATAAAAACGATCTTCCCTGGCTATAAGGCCACTCAAAGGCATCAACGAGCGGCTAAATACTCATTATGGAGTTCTTTGGAAAGTCAACTTCTTCTGAGAATGACACCGTTAAGAGACTGTCGACCTTAAGAGGGCTGCCTTATCGCGGGTCAAAGAAAATGTCTGCATCGGCAGGAACCAATCCTAAGGTGTCCTTCTCTGTAGAGCTGTCCATTTATGGAGGGCTTTAACTGAAATGAGGGAATGACAAATGGTGTTAATTGAATTTGACCTGACTGAAGTTCTCTCCTCCACAGAGGCTTCCGCAAGGTATTCCAATATTAAGGTTGCGTTCGATTGGGAAATCCAGATTTAGATGTTGAAATCCGGATTCCGGATTTTGAAATCAAACGCAAAATCCAAAAACGGATTTGACCTCCAAGAAATCCGTCCTCAGGGTGGGTTTCAATTAAGAAATCCAAATCCGGATTTCATGGATTTCCTTTTTACCGATCGATTGGGAAATCCGAAAAAGGATTTGCAAAACTATTCTCGGTAAAAAGGAAATCCAAAAACAGACTTCTCAGCGTGGAAATCCGTTTTCGGATTTCGCGTTCGATTGCAAATCCGAAATCTAGGCTTCCCAATCGAACCGAACGCACCCTAATAATAAAAATAATCAAAAAAAACAGAAAGCGCGCAGGGGACGATGGGATGAGATAGAATTCCTCTTGCAGTCCCCTTCCCATCGTCCACCGCGCGCTTTTTTCCCTCTCCCCAGCCTCCCTACGACATAAAGAGGTCTCTGCGAGGGTCTGCGGAGGAGAGATTTAAACGCACGAAATAAACCCATACTGTGATTGCCACACGATGCGTTTAGATTCATTATAAGCACTTCATATGAAAGAGATAGCCGTATTATTTTCAAATCTAGACATTACTACTAAAAGTTGCAATATTTCCTTTAACCTGTTCCCTGATCCCACCATAAAAGAAAGTTTTAAATAGTAGTGACGAGGTCTCATTATTTTTTTCTATTCAGAAGGGTCCTTAATCATTTATATTGTCACCAGTACTAGGGCCACTCCATGACTTTCAAGACTTCGATTGATGATATTGATATGAAGCTACCTCTCAAAATAGAATCCCTCTGAAGTATCCGTTCGGAAATAACTCAAATACACTTAAGTCCAGTAATGATTTACTGCTTTTGGCAAGAAGTCCAAAAAAAGACTACAGTTGAAAAGACAATAAAAGTAATGTCGCCGCATAATTTTCTAGTAATTATATCTGACTTACGATCTAAATATGTTCTTCAAGAACCAGAAACAAGAAAAGCTTTCAGGCTCGGATCATGCCATCCACATCGGTTTCCACCGTTTAACGGAACTCGGTCAGATTTTTCATTATAAACAGTTTTAATAAAGAAAATTCTTTCCAAGTTGCAACTGACTTCATCTAAGGAGAATGGAACTGGCCAATATCCTGTCTGAACGACTCAGAAATCCATGCAAGGAGACTTAACTTTAGGAAGTTAAAATCAAGTTTCCCAGGAGAACATTCTCCCGGAATCTCCTAGAAGCTTGCGCCTTCGGCGCTCGTTTAGGAAATCGGTCAGTATTTATCCAAGATCCGCGCTAGCTTTGATGGATTTGGAGCCGGGGTAAAACCGGAAGGGAGAGGAAACAGGAGTACCCAAAATTGAACATTGTTGGAAAGTAATCCCACTCTTCAAGAAAGTTTGTTAATTTAGTTCCTAGCCATTCTTTTATCATACTGTATCATTTCATGTAACAATTTCTTTTTTTTTTTTCGAAAAACTTTGTAAAAATTCCCTCTTGTTTGATGTAATTATAAAGGCTGTTGTTGTTGTTGTTGAATGGTCAATAGCTGAATATTCTTAGAACCGACAAACGAGCGAAAGTCAAAATTGTAAGTAAAGACAATAACGTGTGCGTATGTGTGCAGAGAGGGGTGTGGGAAAGTGGTACAATCCTGTAGGGATACTTACCTACTATTGCCTCAAAATATTTTTCTGGGGTAGTTAGTTCTAGAAAAGGGTATCATTTATCATTGGCAAAAATATCAGAGCTACACGAGCGTGTCATATCAGAAACCTAAAAGGAAAATACACAGGCCCTTGGCAGAAAAACAGGGTTGGCCAGATATATATCCCTCGGTAATCTGTAAGATATATATCTCTGGGTGATCTGAATCGCACCTGAAAGAACACAGTATCGGGACATGCACAGATTGGAAACAGTCAACAGAGCAGTGTAACAGTAACAAAAATATGATAATCATTATACTGAACTTACAAGCAAAAAAACGTGATTTGTAGAACTTATATAACAGCAGTGACCTGGAAAACAATACATCTTGACCCCGATCTAGTGAAGTATGAAATGCATTCATTCCAACACTAAAGACACAAATAGAGGACATTGTTCTTTCTAAATCCGTCCGCTCCGGGAAGAACCCGCCTATGCTAATACTGTCGTCACTATCTGAACTGAGAGTGGCAATGTCACGAAAATCATGACCTTGTTTGGTAATTGAATGTTAGTATCTTAGATTTTAGATTTGACTGTGAAGTGTTCGATTACGATTCTCCCGCCTTTTTGCTTTTGCAGGACCAGTTTTCTCTGTCTTCTCTTAGTTTCTTCTGTTTAGACATGGAATCGACGCATTTTTCTCTCTCTCCCAGTAGATCTGACTGTCCCTGGGAATTCCAAGGACTCTTAAACATAAATAATAGGATTTCATAGAGTGCTTATGAAGTCCATTTATAACTAAATTATAAGAAAGCTGAGAAGAAGTCATTGTCGGTCGGCTTTACAAAATGCTGTATATGAAAGTGAAATCGCTGACACAATTGTTTCGCCTTAGCTCTCATTAGTTCAGCCCCTAAGGGTCATAACAGCCGGACAAAAGCAGCACTCTTTTCTGATTGCATGATTCCGGCCTTTGATTCAGAGGCACGTTTTCTCTGTTGAATCTCTTTCCTCCATCATCTTCACGTAATAAATTCATTGCCTGATTATAAATTTCGCACTTTCTCCTAATTCACCGACAGGAACTAAGACATCTAAGACCGAAAGGTCATAAATAATCTTCTTAATGCAACCTTAATTAACCTGTCTCAACACACACTGAAGTTGCTGGTAAATTATCCGTCAAGAAAATATATGGGAGTGACTATTTTGTGGGGCAATTTCACGAGAAAAAGTTTTCGTCTTAACTGGCAGCCCATCTAGTTTGGTTATTTTTAAAACTTTCAGAATTTAGCGGTATAAAATGTTTTGCTTCCAAGAAAAATTCACCACACGTGTTTGACTCTGATATTTATTGGACCGTCTCCTTAATTTTCAGCCCAACTGAGTTATGAGAGCCTGAAGCTATTAAGAATACTGGCCACGTTAAGTTGGACATGCTTTGCATTACAAAGGGTTAATTGTTTTTATCACGTCCTTTGCTTTGATGGTACATGAATATTTTAAGACGGTCCTTGACAACATGTTCCCTAGGTCACGTTTTGCAAATATTGAATTTTTTTTGAAGTATTTTTATTTTTGACACATTTTGAAAACTGTCTGGAAGCAAACCAAGATCCCTGAATGCGAAGAAGAGTCCAGAATGGAAAAATCTCTTCGCGATCCTCAACACCAGTCTCTCCCGCTCCTTCTGTCTTGCACCTGTCTTAGTCTCTGTTTCAGTTCGAATTAATATTCCTCCGCAGGGAAGAACAGGAATCTTGCTACAAGTAGGAAGATATAGTTTTCCCGTGTATCTTGGCCTGTTTAAAAACTCCTATATGGCGATCGTGGCGAAGAGCAAGAGAATGCGAATTTTGTACACTGTACAAAATATATCTAGATCGTTATTACATAGGATCACTTTCGTTTATTATTGGGCACCAGGCAGGAATATCCCTCTCTCATTTCAGCTGCGGAAATTTGAATGGAATAAACAAAATCTCAATGCAAATTTTCATAAAAACTATTGGTTCGGTGTAAACAATCGGCTTAGAACTATTACATACCGACCGCAAAAAATATTGCATTATGAAGCTCTTCCGACATGTGGTAAAGCTCCAACTATTTTGGAACGTGCCAAAAAAATGCAACCTAAGTAAGAAGCATTTCATTTAAAAGATCTAACATTTCCCACGATGTTTACAACTGAAATATATTGCTGAATGCTTTTTGGCACAAACACGGATGCAAATTGACGATCGATTACCCCCACAAGAAAATTAGACAAGAGACTAACAACTTTCATTTTCATTGATTCGTTCGTTCGACTTAAATTAACCATAGAATACAACAATACTATTTTCATATTTACAAAAATTTACCGTATTAGCGAACACAACTGTACAGGCAATAGATAAAGAAGAAATCATCATCTTAAGCTCTCGCATTGCACCTTCAAATCTATTTACATTATGTAGCCGATGCAATAATAATGTTAATGTTGTACGACAATAAAACCATGAAATTTCTCTCCTATATACAAAGAAAAGGTCGATTTTCTTGCGAAAGAGTTCTAAATAATCCTGCTCATGGATAGATCAGGATATCTTGTGGTTTCTTCAAATATAAAAGCTCTCTTAACATTTATGAATAAAACATTTATCTCTGTACAAAATCCAATGTAAGTCCACTGGAGATAAAAAAAAATTTCTATCTTCCTTTTCGCTATTCCCATCCATTATCCTTGATCATATGCGCCATTTCGATGATGAACTTTCCCTCTTTGTATTTCTGGCTATTCTCAAAGGCGTGCTCCTGGAAAAGAAATGAAAGTAAAGAAACATTGGGCCACTAATTTTAAGAGCGCTCAGGGCTGTTGTTGTCATCATGGCGAGAAATTTGCATAATGGCGTGTTTTCCTTCGACAGTGCGAAAAACACGCGGGAAATTTTCCCAAGAAATTACTCTGGTGTTATTGGGCAGCCATACAAAGAAAAAACAGAAAATAATACTCACGTATTTCCATCCCAACGTTGTTTTACAGCACTCGCAATAAATGTCGGCAACTGCATGAAGGCCCGTCAAAAGAACCCTTTCCTCAGCCGGACCGCAACCGACATTCACTCTGCGAATACAATAATTCAAAGAAACAGTTAGATTGAAAAACAGCACCTTAAAATTACATTGTAAAATGAATCTTTCATAAAATAACAACTTACACTTTGTTGAACAAGTAAGCTCGGCCTTGGCTACCTTGGAACGACTGAAAGCGAAAATTACATCTAAAATCAACATGGCTGTTGTTGTCACGAACTGGAACATAAACATGCGATTCCTCTAAAACTGACTTTATTTTCGCTAAAAACAAAGGTCTCACCTTCGAAATAAGTTCGTCGTGGTTGGCCAGGTGAGCCCGACAGTGAATACAACTGTACTTTCTGTGACACTGAGGACTGAGATACGCTTGAAACGTCTTCACCATGTCGTCGATTTCAGGAAATGAAACTCACTTCCAAATCCCGGAATGAATATTAGGTGAATTTCAAAAGCGTCACCACCACGAGGTTTAAGAGATTTTAACAGCAATTGGTCAAATCGATTGATCCTATCAAACCAAAGCCTACACTTTGCTTTCCCTCGCAGAACTAACACTTTTTCTGTCGCAGTTTGTGTTGTTTTGGAAATTTGTTTTTGCCACACACGTGACACTCGGCTGGGTTTTTGTTCATTTCCACCAATTAGAACGCAAGCTTTTGATAACCTGACGGAAAGTGACCAATCAGCGTGCTCTGATATAAATGCATGGCAAAGAAGTAAAGAGGTCTCGAGACCCGAGAAAACACCGGAAATCGAAAATCACGGATACCATTGCGTCATGATTTTCAGCAGCAGTTTCCGTCAACAAAACTCCAAACAAATATTTCTTTCAGGTGACTTCGCTCACGTGAACTTTTTATTCAATAAGAATTATCTGTATACAACCAAAAATCTAAAATCGAACAGAGACTTTTATCTTCGTGACGGAAGACATGCTTCATCCTGGTTGCAGAGAACTCCAGCTGCGCTCGTTTTGCTCGTTTGTATTCCGCGCACGATTCAAATCACAAGATATCCATGTGCGTTTCCGCGCGCAAGCGATAAGATCAAAAAACAGACTTTCACAAAACAATGCGCCTCTTCCGTTGACGATGTTGGCCGTGCGAATTGTTCACAATTGTTGATCGTGCAATATCAATATAAATTTGCTAACGATCTGCATTCTGTCAAGTCGTAAAACTTGTCAAGCTGGCTGGCAATCAGTACGCTCAAGAACTTCGTAGAATGGAACTCTTTTATGAAAATGTTTTAGAAATAATTCAGTGAATAAGGAAGTGCAATAGAATAACGAGTTCGGGGCCAATATCACGCTCTAAAATCGGGTCATTGACCCACTACTTGTTAATGAGAAGGCATTTACCGCTTCATCTGCATGTAATGTGGACCTTTGCATGTACCCCTTAAGAACTAAAGGCACGCGACCGATCGACCGCACTTAAGCCCAACGCTTTTTTGAGACCTTTCGCAGCAAGTTTGACTGTGGAAACAAGCACTAAGCCCCCCAAAAGACAAAGAATGGAGCATTGCGTTTATAGCCAGAAAAGAGGGGAAGGGGGGAGGGGGGAGGGGAAGTGTCGCAGCGTGTCGCCAGCTTCCTGTGCTTACCTCTATGAGGAGCTTGAGGAGCCTACATGGCCCCCTGCCTCCCCCTGCCCCTATGTATCACTTTTGACAAAAGGAGCCCATTCACATACTTACAAAGAACGCTGTATCTCGTCTTACGAAGTACAATATAAAACAGACTTCTTGTAAATTTCATATAACGGGAAAAAATGAAAACGATACAGCTATAAGCAAAAGTGCGTCTAGTGCGTGCAATGTTGCAATTAAAAACCGATTAATTGGCTCCTAAAATACGTTAATGACAAACTCTTCAACTCAGGAAATTCATACCTTTTCAGTAACCCGAAAACCTAAAAGGTCGAAAAAGGTACCCCGTTTGGGAGGAGCTTCTCCGCATAGGCCATCGAACACCCTGAGATTCTCTCCCCCTAAACAAAGAGAAACCATTGAAGGGCCTAACCGTTATAATTTAAGTAATGATGACATAATTGTTTAGAGGCCAGGTCTGAAAACGAGTATGAAAAATGACATTTTTTGGTCTGAAACAGGGTGAGGATTTGGAGAACCGGCGGCACCCCCCCACCAAGAATTGCAAGGAGTACCCCCCCCCCCCACCTCCCGGATGCCAAGCCCTGCGTTAGTCGTCGCTGAGTGATAGGAGATTATACTTCCTTGATTGAGTCATAAGTTGTATTTGGATTAAAAAATCTCCGTTTTCGGGATTACTTTGAGCTTGCTTCAAAGGTTACCAGATCCAATCATAGCTACAAACAGGAGCCCCTGCTACAAATTACAAGTAAGAATGGCAACGTGTAACTGTTATAGATACTTTTTCTTTTTTAGAATTGTGCCCGAATGGAACAATTTGCCCCGCTACGCTGTGGAGGCTGGAAATTTAAGACGTTTCAGAAAGCTACTCTTAAATCATATATCAATATGTGTATTTCATAATTTCATTCTTTTCTATGTAAATTTTTCCTCTTAGACACTGTTTTGTATTTTTTTACTTTTATTTTTTAGGAAGTTAATTCATATAGAGAACACCTTTTTAACCTCCTTTTCAGGATGCTATTTTTGTATCTTTTATTTTTATGATACCTTGAATAAAGTATGTATGTGTTTTTATATACATGGTAGTTGTCACGCTATTACCGTCGTTCTCACGTTCTCTGGAAGATCTGGGTACGAAATCTAGTGTCACGCAACACATGCTCGAACATCTTGCGCCGAAACAATGGCATCACGTCCTGTTGTGCTGTGCTACTCATCCTTTACCCCTCCAAAACCTGCTCAAAACTTGCTCTTGGAACTCGCACGAGCTTACGAAGGTGATTTTACACTACTGGATCAAAAGGTGGTGACCGATCTCAGTGAAGATGAGCGAGCAAAGATAGAAGGGATTGTGTGTACCGGGGGTTATACCCGAACAGACCACAAACTGGGACAAGAGATTATGGACTTGCTACCTAATTTGAAAGTCATTAGCACTCCAAGCATGGGCTTAAATCATATTGACGTGCAGGCAGCAACAGATCGAGGTGTTCGTATTGGCCGAAGTTTGCATCAAATTGACGCTGTTGCGGAATTTGCCTTCGGATTGCTATTGGCATCCGCGAGGTCGATTGTGCTGGCTAATGAGGTCGCCAGAACAACTGTTTTTTCATCAGGCCAAGTGAGTAAGAAAGAAATTATATATTTCGAGTATGGTGAATCCTACCTTCCATCCCAAGAGTTCAGGTGGATGGCCGGGAGAGTTGCAGTGTCATCCTTCTCTGTCACGTGACTTCTCCACTTGTTGTACTGCCAGGAGCGCATCAAGGATCTCATTTATGAGTTTCTGAGGTTAAACAGGATACCGTAAACGACCTAATAAACGCCCAGTTCCAAATAAAAGCCTCTTTTCTAATAATCACCCCTTCTATGCTGTTAAAATTGTATCAGACACCCCTCTCTAGTAGACACCCCCATAACAATTACCCCAAAATACTAACAATTAGCAAAAAGAAGCAGAATCATTCAATTCATTCAGTTCCTTGCTCGATTTAAAGCCTTTGAATATTTCATCTTGTTCAATGTCAAGTTCAAAGTAAGGATAGACTAACAATGGCAACACATCAATGTTGGGGTTTGATGGAGTGGATATTCCTCTATTTTTCTTGATACTTTTGCCTAAAGCATATTAGTTTTGTTGAGCTTGTTACAATTCACCACTCCAGAAAATACCATAACAAACCATAATGCTTTTTGTTTGTCACCCCAAAGTTCTGCATAAGCATTGTCTTCAGTTTCTCTCGGGAGTTAAAATGGCCCCAAGAGAAACTGAAAACAATGCTTATGCAAAATTTTGTGGTGACAAACAAAGAGCATTATGGTATGTTATAGTATTTCTGGAGTGGTCAATTACGGTATGAGAATAAACGCCTCCCTACTTTAAATGCCTGCTATCTATCAAACACCCCTGCCTGGACCCCTACAATTAAAAAGGTGCCATGGGTCTTTATTAGGTCTTTTATGATATCTGGGGTTATGAGGGGCACGTAGGGGCAAGAAAAAGGTCGGCAGATACTTGAGATGACAACCTGGATCTAGAAACTGGGACTGTTTTTTGCATTACTACCCACTTAAAAAATTAACAACCACCCCCCTAATCCCTTCCCACCATGCAATAAACACAAATCGACCCAGTCTCCAAATTATAAGATGGGTGTGGCTTGGGATATTACATGAAGCCTTACATTAGTTATAGACCAGGCTGTTGTGTGTGACATTATGAGTCGTTATACAAGATGACCTAAACATCTCAGGTGACTAAGATATCAGTGTTAAATGCATCATTCAGATGTTTTTAACTACAGATCAGATACACAAAAAACATGCATGTTTGGGTTTTATAACATTGAAGCCGTCAAATTTCATTTACTACAAGGTCACAGGTAGCCCAAGCGTGATGCATATGACATGTTTTGATACTTCAAATACTATTTTGCATGGTAGAGAAATATGGACAAAATTATTTCTATCAAGCTTATTTATATTTACTGCTACTATCTGTGTTTCCAATTTAGCAAAAAATACAAATATTCAAGCCTATACAGCAAGTTACTGGTTCTACTCTGGGCATTATTGGTTTTGGAAATATTGGAAAAGCAGTTGCTGAAAAGGCAAAAGGATTCAACATGAAGATCTTGTATCACTGTCGAACTCCGAAAGAAGATCATGAAAAATATCTAGGTAAATAGACTATTTTTCCTCAGGGATAGTAGAGTAAGCAAAACAAGAGCACACGTGAAATCATCCCACATGAGAAGAGTGGGTGATTTTCACTCGCGCTTGCGTTTCACTCGATCTACTATCCCTGAGGGAAAATGGAGACTACTCATAGTCTATTCAGTAAAGGGTGACCATCATCATCATTTGTCCTCTTGGGACCCAGGTGCTCATGTTGTACAAACAAACATTTGTCATTCAGGCCTTCTTCCACATTGGGGGAGGGGGTGAATTGGGTTAATTTTTGGCAGATATATGCGGCTGGCATCTCGGGACCCCTTCCCAATTATAGCCTATTCTGTAGTCAAGAGGACCCCATCTCAGTCGCTTTTGAGCAAAAGTATTTTTTGCAATCCCAACTTACTCACTTTCTGTCACTTTTAAACCATGAATCTTCTTATTTCTTAATCCCCAATTACCAGAATTTTCTCACCCCCAACATCGTGGAATGTGCAAACCCATCGCAGTAGCTCTGTTGAAGATGCACCCCCATTATAGCCAATCCAGTCGTGAAAATGTGACCCTATCCAACAGGCACATCTCCATTAACCTGAG